ATGACTCAAAGGAGGCGTATCTTCATGGCTTGAAAGAAAGAATTCTTGATTCGAAGAGAAGAATGGTATATCTTTGTGACTCAAGAAAAAAGATGATGTATCATCAGAACGCAAGGTAAGAGATGGTGTATCTTCATAACTTAAAGAAAGGGATGGCATATCTTTGTGACTAAATGAATGAGATAGTATATTTTCATGGCTCAAGGAAAGGATTGGTATGTCCTCATGACCCAAAGAAAGGGATGGTGTTTCTTCATGGCTCAAAGAAAGAGATGGAGAATTGTCATTGCTAGATGATTTTGTTTTAAGCCATTTATCTCTTTTATTTTGTTTTTCATAGTCTGCACAGATATTGCATCTTTGAAATATTTTACTTTTGTTTCCGCTTTGTCTTGTAAATTCAGCAATTGGTTTGAACTTATCACAGCGAGTGCATTGTTTAGTGTTTGGCATTGCAATGTTTAAAGTAGACATTTTAAAAAAAGCTTGTAGTATTAGTTTTTTTTAACCATAAATGCATTGTAATCATATAGTAAATAACAAATTTAATAAAAAAAAAACGAACAATTCTCATTTTAATATTGATAAATTACGTAAAGCAATATAAATTCGCCTTTAAATTATATTAATTATATATCTGTTTATTAAAATTCCAAACACATAAATTTACATTATATCAAAATTCCAAATACATAAATTTATATTATATCAAATTTACAATTTTTTACTTTTGAATTTTTTTTTTTGATTAATATATGGATTTCATTCTTATATTAATTATATATCTATCTATTATATCAACTTTCGAAGCAAATGTAAATTCGATTAATTTAATTTCACTATGCTAAATTAATAATATAAAAGTTTTTATTCGTTATATTAATTAGCATATATAACTTATTGATTTATGTATATGATCAATATACCGATTTAATATAATATAATATAACTGTAAATACTATTGCTATTTTGATCCTATTACTGTACTAATTTCAGACTATCAAATGGATCGGAAATGGTCAGCGATCACGAGACCGCGACATTTTTCTGCCACCACTAACCTATCTGTAGTGGCATGAGTAAACGACCATAAGATAAAAGACTTTCTTATTATATGTGATTATGTATTAAAGAAACATACGGTCCTTATGCTGAAATAATCCCTTTATTTATTAAGCCCCTTCGTAGAATCGCATGATTAAAAGTCTTATCATAAAAATAGTTATTAGTTAACCTCCTTGATTTATATAATTGTAATTTATTATAAAAAAAGTAAGAGAAAATAGAAAAAATAGCAGGTAATTAATCGAAGAAATAAAATAAAAATAATAAAATTCTAAAACCTTCCATTAAAACTTTTTATTTTGCTATATCACCACTGGCGAGTTATCTTAATTTTCCAATTTTCTAATACAAATATCTAATGTTCATTTATTTGATAATTCATTATTCTGTACAAATAAAACATTTATAACGTAGAGCATAGCAGATGTTTGCTAAAATTAGAATAAATATGATTGGCTACAATTTTTTTTTTATACAATATAATTTTTAAAGTAAAAAAATCATCATGTCATATTAATTTTTTTGTAACAACAAACTTGCGTTGTTAGTACATTACTTTAAGATTTATTATTTTTAACCTGGGATGCAGTAGGAAGCGAAGTTTCAAAAACCGGATGAGAGGTGAGTAAAGGTTGCAAGATGTCTCAAATAGTTCTGCTTGCCTAATAAAAAACCATACTTTGATATATATATTGTTAGACCCGGAACACGTGATCCACGGATGGCCGATTTCACGTGGGATCGGAAAACCTCCGGACACCTACCATGCACGTGATTTTGCACCTACCGATTACCGGTATATGATATACCGATATTGAAATTACTGTATTACATAATAAAGTTTAAGAACGTAATTGGATTATTGTTACACAGATCAAAATTAAACGATCATTACTATATATATTTCTCTGTCAATTTTTCGTGTAGTTATATTTTTCTCTTTTACTATTGTTAAGCATAAAGATCACATATTGAGCATACAAATAATAAATTATCTTTATACTATAAAGTACCAGCATAAAAAAATTTTTTTTAATGAATATACCTAAAGTAAATGATAAGTTTTCAACTTTGGAAACTTTAGAGGAGGCTGCTCAGGCTGCCGCGAAAGCCCAAGGTTTTGCTTTTTCACGATGTAGTAGCAACCTAGATGGTAAAAATGGCAAGTCCCCATATGTTATTTTACAATGCACAAAAGGTGGTAACTGGCGCAATAATTGGGATGTAACTCCTGAATCACGTAAAAGAAAGTCAAAAACCAAATGATGTAACTGTCCTATGCGTATTAGAGCTGCAGTAGCCAAAAAACAGTTATCTAATATGTGGATCATCACAGATGTTGAATATACTCATAACCATCCACTACTTATATCAAATGAAGTAATGAGCCTCTTTCAACATCGATGTTTAAATGTCACCAAAAAAAACTTTTGCATGATCTGATTAACATCAATGCACTCACACGTATTATCACTACTGCTATCAATAAAGTTGATAATGGTGGTGTCATTATGCCTAAAGATGTAGTGAACAAACGAGCACGAATTAAATATGCGCTCAATGAAGGTCCTAATGCTGACTGTGCTCAGAAGCTTTTGCGTCTTCTTCAACAACGGGACTATATGATAGAGTTACTTAAAACACAAGATGGACATTTAACATATTTGTTTTTTTCTCATGTTGAAGCAGCAAAGCATACCGCGAAATGTTATGAAGTTTTAATTGTAGATGCCACTTACAAAACAAATGTGTATAAATTTCCTCTTGTAAGTGCAGTGGGTATTAGTAACATTGCAAATGAGAAAGGTTCTTTAAAAACATTTCAGATCGTGATGGCATGGATGCAAAATGAAAATGAGGATTCTTATAAGTGGTTTTTGACAATGCTTCGCAAAAAAGTATATGATGCTTACGATTGTCTCCCATGTGTATTTATGTCTGATAGGGATCAAGCGCTTAGAAATGCCTCCAGAGAAGTTTTTCCAGAAGCAGACAAAATGTTGTGTATATGGCATTTGATAGATCAAAACCTTAAAACAAATTGCCGTAAGCTTTTCGCAATGATGATGATTATACTGAATTTAAAAAAGAGGTTATGGCTTTACAATTAACATTTGACGAAAAGCATATAATAACAGCAATGAATTCTATTAAAAACGCTGCAGAAAAGGCATATGATCCCAAAAAACCCTTGGCGTATGTTGACACTTTAATGAAAGACTCTAAATTATGGATTTATGCATTTACAAAAAATTTCTGTCATATGGGTATCTCAACAACTGCATGTGCTGAATCATCGCATAGTGCTTTTAAACGAGCTATAGAAACAGCCAGTGGATTAGAATCAGTTTTTGAAAATATCGATCAAAGGATGCGAATGCAAAATCTCAAAACTGCTATATACACTGGTACTAACAAAGTAGCTTGTGATCCATTCACTCTGCGTAATTCTCGCTTTAGTATGATTATTGGTAATGTATCGACATATGCAATTGATAGAATGAAAAATCTTTTAGTCGAAATTCAAGAGAATCCAACAAAATATAATGAAGCAACAGCTTGTCAATGTCTAATAAGAATTAATTATAAACTTCCGTGTTACCACACAATTCCTAAAGAAGGACCAATTCCTCTTAACATTATTGATAAGTGCTGGTACCTTTATAGGCCTGATATAAAAGATCTTTTGAGTTCTTCTTTAGAGTCATTAGATACCGACCCAGCATTTTATAAAGTCTTTCTTAAAGCTGAAAATACATTCTGCCAACTCCTGGATAATGCTTCTATAAAGACAGAATTTATAACCCGTATTGATCAAACAGTCACAATGCCACTTTCTGAATCTTTAAAGACACCTAAAATTGAAGTTTTAAAAGATCGTTATTCAGGAACAAAGCGTGAAAAACTTTTGAATGAAAGGCAAGATATAGAAGCAAAAAAAAAAAAAGGGTTCTGCAACCAAAGATAAATCATGACAATGCTTTGCAATCTCCAGTTACCTTTCATAAAGATGTTGATATGTACGAAGATATTGTACCAATGTTTATGAAAGAGTTCATATTGAACTATATAAATGTTCATGGTGATGGAAACTGTGGTTTCCGTGCTATTGCTGTATTGCTTGAAATGTCTGAAGACGAATGGCCAACTGTACGACGAACTATTTTTGATGAACTAATTAATCGAAAAGCCCATTACACTCAACTATTTATTGAAGGTGAAAATGAATACAATACAGTTGTTTCAATTGTACAATGGGAAAAAGGTTCATGTAGTGTTGAAAACTGGATGTTAATGCCATCTTTCGGATATCCGATTGCCAATGCTTTCAAACGACCAGTTCACTACTTTAGTAGACATCAATGTTTAACATTCCTGCCCGATAATATCCTGTTGAACCGAAACCAACCAATTGTTTTTGCCTTTATTGATAAGCAAAATCATTATATTGCTATGAGGTTAAAGCCAAATGCTCCCGTTCCAGTGATTGTTAATAGATGGCAAAATATATGTTCAAATCAAAGTAAAATTTGGGAAAAGCTTTTTGAAGCAAGAATTTCATGCTTTCAAAAAGCCTTTGAGAAAGAACACAGTTTATATTCAAAAGACCAAGCAACTATTGAATTATCTTAATTATAAGTAGGGATACTATTAACTCAATGCGGTTCATATGATACATATAATAGATTAACTGCATCCGTCTTAATAAAAAGCGTGAAATTCAGCTTCTATATATTATGGGCCAGAATTTAATAGCAGTATTGTATATCATTAATAAGATTATTCATTTATAATTAATTAGCTGAAGGCTAACATAATAATGAGTAATTGTATTGATTAAATATTAACGCGATAAATATTTTGTTAAAATCATGCTTAAAAGTATCAGGGATACTTAAAATTAATTTTTATTACAATTACTGTTTGCTATAATTGTTACAATAATTGTGATCAATTAAAGCAATTAATTGCGATTTTTGCTTACGCAATAAACTTTGCTGTGATATAAAATTTTACACTTTAAACTATTCTATATATTTTTTGTGGTTGTAACTAATTATCTGAACTAATTTATTTATATTATGAAAGAACAAAAGCCTTATGCTTTATTATTCGTTATAAGTTTTTCACGAGAATAAAGACTTAGAGCATACTTTGATAATTAGTTTTCGAAAGAGAAACATAAACTTATATTATTACGGTTTGCAGGTAATTAGAAAAAGAAAGTGCCATTAATTGAGTTTGCAATTAATTCAACGTACGTACTGCATTTCGTGTAACTGTGCTATGCTTATATTTACTCATCGGTATGTCATATACCGATAATCGGTAGGTGCAAAATCACGTGCATGGTAGGTGTCCGGAGGTTTTCCCTGTGGGATCTTCGCTGTACGACCTCAAGTCACGCCCTCCCGACTATGAAGATCTCTTACTATACTGGGACTAATAGTACCTATAATGCCAATAATGATTATAATGCTTATATTGCATATAAGCATTATAATCGTTATAATCGAGATAATGATTATCGGCACCCTAAAAATAAATAGAGAATTAGTTATAAATAACATGTAGTTTCGCCCAAGTAATAAAGC